TATTTTTTAGATGGTGAATAAAACTCATATTTATTATATAAAATAGAACAAATACTCTATAAGAAAGCCATATTTTTTCTTCTTCATCTGAAAATATCTGTTTATATAATTCTTTATATTTTAAATGATTGAATCATTCATTTAAAATTATTATTATTACATAAGGATGTATTCATAATTTACTAATGAAATTAGCATTCTGCATATCTTTTTTATTGAAAATTACCAATATCTTCTATATAGACTAAAATTATTTTTACTTTCAACTAATAAATAATAGAAAGATATTAAAAAGATATTTGATTAAATTTTAATATTGATATTTGTATAATCCTTACAAATAATATATAAATAAATAAGTAAGATATCAATTTTATAGTATATAAATATATTTATAAACTTACTTTGAAATATGATTATAAAAGCTTTTTAGTTTCCTTCTAATGATAGAAGTATCTTTTTTTTTCTATATTTGTTTGCATGTATAAATAAGCAGCAATAACAAATTTATTTAAATTTTTGATATCATTGGGGAATTTTTTCAGGGTTAGACCTGCGGTAATCTGTGATTTTTACAGATTTTCACTTTTTTTATATACCTTTTTTCTAGAAATCTGCAAAGTTCTACAAAATGCAAACTCATAAATTTTTAGATAATCACTTAATGCAGATCTGCAATAACCTTCTAAATTGTAGATAACTGCAGATTTAATGATTTAAGATAATTTTAAACTTTAAATAGACTTTTTCAAAAAAAAAATCACAAGTTTTTTTTATATTTCAAAGAGATATGAAACATTTTTTTATTTCGAAACTTATTGAATTATTTTTTTTTATTTTGAAGAGTTACGAAGTATTTTTTTATTTTGAAAAGTTACAAAGTATTTTTTAAAATAAATATTTATTTAATAAAAACTTATTATCTTTGTTGAATCTTGATATAATATGTACCTTTTGGTTTATAGAACTGATAGGGATTGCGTTATAATCTTTAGTATAATAAAATTGCAGATAACTGTAAAGTTCAGATTCATCTGGTTTAATATCATACTAGCAGATAAGAACAAGTTCATATGGAGCTTTTGACAACCCCCAAAAGTATTTGAATAGAAGTGATACCTTTTAAAATGATATTCTATTGTTAAAGATATTAACTAAAACAAAAAGATATACTTTCAATATTAACCAAGGTTCACTTACTTTTTCATATCACGCTTCTTCATCTGAACTGTATTGCTTTTGATCCTCTGCATGAATTACTGCAACTTTGCTAAACCTTGAAAGTCTCCTGTCATTCTTAAAATCTCATCATTGTAGACTTTAATATAAAATCATCACTTTTGGAGTCTTGTGAAGATGTGTTCAAAAAGGTATCCAGTGCCAAAATTATCTGCGATAACTTTTCAATAAAATTTTGATGTAGCAGATTTTTGGATTTCTTTAATGACTTTATTTTTATATCGATGGTGTTCAAAGATATTTCCCAGAGAATTTTCCTAAATCCTTCAGTTTTACGATATATAACTTTCCTAGTTGTCAAAGTCAATTTTTTATGCTTTACCTATAAGTAAAAATTTATATTATTTATTTTACTATATTTTTATTAACTAACTGCATTTACTAGTTGACACATTACTTCCTTTCTGTTTAATAAATGATAAGGATTTTTACATAATATTTATAAGAGTTTTGTATGTTTCTGTCAATAAGCCATTTAGCATTCTGTACTTACGAGTTGTAGTAACTAAACAAGAATGAAAATAAGATATAGTGATGACTTGCGAATTTCAGTTAAAAAAATTAGATATTCATTCGCATTGATACCATGTGAAGTCAATTTTACTGTGCTACAAAGATTGACGAATGATCAACATTATTAACATTATTAGCATTTTAACTTAGTTAACATTTTTATTTAATTTATTTTATTCTTATATTTTATTATTATTAAATTATTAATATCGTTAAATTATAATTTATCTTTTATATTTATTTTATTATGATAAAATAGTAGCATTAGTTAGCAATTTCTTATAATTGTATTTTTGTATAAATAGGATAGAAAATTGTCCTTGTAAAAGGGCAGAGATAACAGTGTAAACTCAATAGTTCGAGTTTAAGACTTAGAATCCAAGGTTAAGGATTGCTAAGAATACAATTCTCTACAATAAAGGAATCTCTTTCTAAACTACACATATTAAAAATCCTTTAACGTATTAATTGTATTTATCATGTTTACAAATTGTTAAAGTTATTCTTACTTATCTAAAGTATAAACCTAAGGTTAATTGTGATAGGACTTATTTCACAGTAACTTAGTAGTTTCTCGCACGTTACTTCTTGTTATTAAGTCATAGTTGCCTTAAGTTCGACGGTTGAGCATAGAGTTAATAGCATGATACCGCCAGCTATATAATTTAGGAAAACTACAATCCATTATAGATAATAAAGAGAAAATACTTTTAAAGTTAGTATACTAACCAATAATTTTTTCCTATTTTGATTAGAAACTTGTTAACTAATTTAAAAGTTAATGTTATTCAGTTATTGCTAACTATAATTACCTTAAAGGCTTTTAATTCACTTTCAATATACGAATCTTTTCTACTTATTAAATACATTTTACCAAACCTTATATAAAGATTGCAAAGTTCGTCACAAGTTGTTTAGTTTCATTTATCGAAAATTTTATTTAACGTGAAAATTGTAACTTTTATTATATGGCGATAGTCTGCTGCAGTAATCACATTTAAATTGCCTAACTTACTTATAAGTTTTAGGTTAGAAAAGCGAGAAATTTGATAAAGACAATCATTAAAAATATTCAGTAATTTAGTTCCTCTGACTTCCTTCAAAATATCTTATGTAAATTCCAGTTAATATTTAAAGAACCCAAGATCGATACGATGCATATGATCAGGAATGCAAGCTTCATATATATTCAGATTTCTAAAAAAAATTAATTACTAATTCATAATTAATTTTAAATAATTTAAATAGTAACCAATATTTACGTAAAGTCTCAGAACGTGTTTTCAGTATAATGTATAGAGCGATTCTTTTCTTAGCCATCTCTAATTACACTTTATATATTATCTGTTTTAAGAGAAGCTGGCTCATAGTCTATTTTGTTAAATTTTTTCGCAAAACCATACAAGTATAACATAACATTTTACTACGCATCGACTTGTATGTAGCAGTTACTTCATCTGCTTTAAACATATCTAAAAGGAAAAATAAAATTCACGCAGCAAAAGTTATTTTACGTCTTTTGATTCTGAAATATAATGCATCAGGTTTTCTAATAAGAGTCAAAGTATGATTTTAAAACATTTGTGATATGTTTCACGTTAAAAGCTTTGAAAAGATTCAGTTGTTTTAATTTCTGAATCCTAAATTTTAGGTAAAAATCCCAAAAGGACTTTTGACTTTAGAGAATTTTGAAACTAATTTGGAAGGTTCCCAAGTATTAAGAATACCGAATGGCCTGAAGTTTTACTGAGTCCATTGAAAGTTATCACGTCTGAATACAGGATTATCGACAACAGATTGTTCAAAGGTGGAAGTGTCTTCTCTGTATCTAGTCACCAGTCACATTTATACAGTTCTCTGAATATTCTTTCACTTCTATTACCCTGAGAAAATTTTAGACTCCCTTTATGAACAAAATTATCAGCTACTTCTGGTCATTATACTAGGGCTTAAATTGCACGAAAAATTAGACGATAATAGAGTTTAAATTCAACTCTGAAGTAAGTTGCAACAGTATTTTCTTTGAAGTTTATCGATAGTGAATTTATTTGATTGAGGTAAGCTTTACCATCTTTTGTCAATTTTGGTAATAGAGACTTTTTCAAATTGCTATTTTTATTAAAAAATTTAATTATTTTATTCCCGATCTTGTTCGATATATTACCTTCTACTATTAATTTCATAAAGTCACAATAAGCATCTTTTGGCCATTCTGCTACATATTCTGATTTATTTTTTTTTTCAATAGTATCTAAAGCATTATCTAATGTTACACCTTAAAGATCTTCAAAATTAAAGTCAATTCCTCTGATGTTTAATAGTGATTATAATTCTTCGTCACTTTCTTCAATATTTTCTTCTTCTATTTCGTCTCTTCCTTCAATGCATCTGATTCCATATCTTGCACTCTACTTCACAGATTATAATGTGTTTCATTATCAACTTCTATCCCAATATTAACATCATCAACATCAATATCATCAACATTAACATCGTTAACTTGAGAAAAATTTGTATTCGTAATCGGTATACTCTATAAGGTTTCATCATATTCTGGTATTGACATTCTGCAAGATTGCTGATAGATTAATTGCTGATGTATAAGTCTAGTTTTATGAGAAAGCGTTGTTCTTTCTTAATGTATAGTATTGGCATATCATATTAATCCATTAGTTGTTGAAAATTCTCTTCTACAAATTTCACAACGATATTTAACCATTATATTTATCTTTTTTCTAAATGTTATCACTAGAATTTGAAGCAAAGATATCTCAATTGGATTTATAGGATTTAAATTTACTTGCAATAAAAATATTTATTCTATTTACTATTTTATTGCCATTCAGTGAAGCAAATTTATTAATAATTTCACAATATATCATTTAATTGATTTATTTGGCAAATTTTATGGTAATTTATTTCACTTATCATCAATTTAATAATTATATCAATTTAACTAATATTTAATAATTATATATCAGTTTGAATTTATTTTTAGAATAATATAAACGATTATTACGCAATTATATGCATTTTTGTTAATATATAAATCATGGGTTTTTCTATCTTCAATTCCTTTAACAATAATTTTTTTATACTTGAAATTTCTCTAACAACATTTTTTTCTACACTTGAAATTCATTTAACAATAGTTTTAGTTTTTTACACTTAGAATTTTTCTAACTTTTTTTCCTTTTAACGACATCTTTTTTTTCAACGATATGCACAAATGTAAACAAAAAAAGGATCTACTATATGAAATAAGACCCCTGTTGAAACCTAACAATTACAAGACAAAGCTTCTAGATCCACTGAAGGCAAATTCTTGCAAATATTACGCAGTAAGTAATCTTTAATATAAATAAAAACTAATATTATAACTTACCTTTAATCCATTATCGCTTAAAGAATCTATCTTCTCAACCGAACTTTCAGGACTGTCATAGCCTCTAGAACTATCAGAACCTTCAGAACTGCCAGGATCTTTAGGACTTTCTACACCTTCTGGACCTTTGAAACCTCTCAAACATTCTACATCTATGATGTCTTCTCATAGAAAATCAGTTGAACTACTTAGCAGGAAATCAACAGATAATCAATGATGGTTCTTTACTATATAATGTTTGTAATGATGATCCTGATTCTTTGCCGATAAGTAAAGAATTTTTTCTGTTATCACAAGTGCCACGACTAGTTGAAAATGATAATCACAGATACTACTTAACTATTGATAAGTTTAAATATACAATAGACTTAGTGGACACCAAAATTAATATTATATACAAACTTTGCAGATTCATCAGTGATAAACAACAAGAAAGTTTGAAGTTATTGATAAAACTTATTATACTTGACAAACTTTCAGATGCTTTTTGGGCTATAAGTTATTTTAAAAAAATATGTGCTAATTTTCAATTAATTACTTAATGATTTTCTTTCCAGCGTGCTTATAAAGAAGTTGCAAAAAAACTTCTACCAAATATCCTATTTCTCTCAACTCAGAAATATCAGGAGGCATTAGAAGAATATCTCTCTAAGTATGCAAAGCATTTTATATAACAAATAAGAAAAAATAGCTGGATATCTTTATTCAAAGAAAAATTATTAACAGAAGTAAGTGAAATCTTAGATTAGGAGCTTCAGTGATCTTCAAAAAGATTTTGAATAATTTTAAATTTTATAGGTTAAGCAAAAGGGTAAAAGCAAAAGAAATAATATCGCTGTAAATATCTGAAGTGTGCTGTTTTCAAAATTTGGCAAAGATCATTTAAAACGCGTTGATAATAATACATCTCTATTAAAATTAACCGAGTGGAAGTCAAGTGAAAAAACAAAAAGAGTATATAAAGATCTTTTTAATAAATCTGAACGGCTTTGACAATCAGGTATAACGTCTTTAAGTCATACAAAGAAAAGGAACTTCTAATGATGCACTGCGTATATATACTTTCTATATGTGATATTATGTTAAATCCAAAGAATTCTAGTATCAAATGTAATGATAAGTCTGTTATAAGACGAGTAAATGCATTTTTGATAAATAATCACATTATTCCAAAGTTCAGAAATTTACTTTAATACTTTTTAATTATTAATATATAATTTATTTATATTAATAGTGAGCCTTTGAAAATAATGATCCTGTGACATGACAAATAATAGACAAAATTGCAGAGACTGAAATAAGAGAAGCTGAAAAAGCAAGAAAGAAAAGGCAAGAAGAAAGCGGCGGGAAAGTCAGATAATAGAAGCTAAAGTGACTCTTGAAGATAGCGATTATGACAATTTTGTAAGTTAAATATTGATGTTTGTTATATCTGAATTCTATTATTAAAGGAACTTATGCTTTTTAGATTAATGAATTAGATTCTTAATTTATCAGCTGACACCAGTGAAGTTTCAGTTTTAAAAGTAAATTTTAGGACATTCTTTATTTTAACATTTTTTGAATAATTATCAAGTAGAAAATTGGTTAGTTTTTGTTAGTCAGGAATTTATAAAAAACTTTTTTTTTTCTTTTAATTTTATCTAACGCAACGCATTTAATAATGAACAGCAGTGAAGATACAAATCGAAAAATTGGCAGAAGACTGGAAAAGGATATTTGGAAGCAACATGTAAAGCTTGTATAAAATTTTAGACAAGAGGTGAACCAACAATAATGGAAAAACATTTTAGCAAACCATTGTATTCAGGCAAACCTTTAATTATTTAAATATAATAGTTAATCATAATATTAATGATGATAGCCTAATAAACACATCACTATAAGATAGTAATTATATGTTTGACATATGGTCAAAATATTTTAACACATGTGATATAATTGTAAGATGATTAACATATTTATAAAATAAATATGTTTGAATTATTTTTTACATATTTCAAAATTTAAGTTCAAATTTATACTAGAACAAATAATTATCACGCATATAAATTAAAATAATTAAAAAATATATTTGCAATAATTTAAACATATTAATATAAAATTATAAAAATATTAACATTTCTTAATATTATGTTATAAATCGCAGTTAGAGTTTGTTATCCATTAGCAAATAATTAGCAATTACTATGTTTGACAAATATTGTTCATATAAAGTATATAAAATGTACCAGTCTTGTTATTAATTTAATAGTTTAAGAGGCAACATACTTACTACACCAAGTTTGATTGGAATTTTTAGATCTATTGTTTTATTGTCACACTCTTTAACAGATTTTCGCATATCTTCCTTATTTTTCATAGCAACCAATGCTGTTTTATCAGCTGATCATACAAAAATGCCAAGTTTAGTAACAATTACTGAATATTTTCTTAGTTTCTGTTGATCTGTTACCTTTAGATGTATCTGAAGTACTTGTTTCAATACATCATCAGTAATAAATTCATCCAATTCGTTGTATGGTTCTCTTGCCCCATTTTTATTAATTAGTTTAATTAATTTATTAAGAAAAAAAATTATTTTGAATTTCTAAATAAATTTATTAATATTGAAAATTGATTATTCGATTCTAAATAATAAATTTAATTTTTAATTAAATAGAAGCTTTAAATATTACAATAATAGATAATAATGAATTATGAATAAACTTTTATATAATTATTTAATTTATTCTATAATAGACGAAGCTTTAATATATTTATTTATAATCCATAGATTCAAATTTATTATATTAGTTTTTCTTACAATTTTATCATATTTATTATAAAATTTATATAGTAATATGATATATAGAGTAATTTTATATAAAAGCATATTGTACAGTCAACTCTTTCTACAACGAATTTTGATATAACGAATTTTACAATACAACGGATTTTCATTGTCGGACAGAT